GCCATATGTGCTTGAGTGCGTGTTGCACGCATATTTTTCAGGTTTGCTTGCGTGTTGTACGCATGTTGTATGCATTGCGTACGCATTGCATATGCAATTGGTGTGAATTTCGCGTTGTATAGATGTTGCCGATGTTGCATGCGTTTTGCATGCATCTTGCAGGCATCGTGGAATACTCCCTGCACGCATCTGAAAGCATTCCAGGCACATGTTGTGCATGTTGCATGCGTTTTGCGTGCGTGCGTTCTGTGTGTGTAGTTTGTGTGCGTGATGTGTGCGTAGTGTGGACTGTTGTTTGCGTTTTGTTCACATGTTGTGCGCATTCTGATCGATTTGCACTTGCGTTGCGTGTGCGCATTTTGCATTTTCAATTGAGCTGTTGTATGCACTTCTTTAAAGAAGCATGTGCGCAATGCACATTTTGGAGGCGACCGAAACCCGCATAACAACTGCATACAAAACTGCGTACCGAGCGCCTGCAACATTCATACAACATGCGTCCAAAACACACACAACATAATCCAATTGCAGTTCATACAAACAAAGCATGGACACCGAATAGGCAAGGATTCACTCAAATCATGCATATGTTACCCTTGCTTCAGCTTTGGGCATCACGGCTGGTAACCGGGCAACCCCAGCATCTACCAACGGCAAAAGCCTGGCCAGCAAGACAAACACTGACAGAGATGCAAGCCCAGCATCCAAGATTGGCCACGAGAGGAAAACGGAAGCAGGAGCACGCGTTTGCCGAAACGGGGGTAGTGCCAACTCACACATAACCCTTTTAACTTTCTTTTCCGTCCTCCTTCTTGCTCCTCCTGCTTGCGAACCCTTGGTTGTTGCAACTGCCTTCCGGCCCTTGCTTCTTTTCTTCCTTCTTGCCTTCCCCCACTTCTTTCCTGTCTCCTTGGGCTCTTCTTGGGCCCTTGAATTTCTTGTTCCCTCCCATTTCTGCCCGTCGTCTTGCCTTCCAGCTTTCCACTATTCGACTTGTTTCTTTACCCTGCTGCCTTTCATCCTGCTTTTGAGTCCTCACACCAGGCGCAGCGCGAGCGACATCGTGTGCAACAAACCCGTTACCGCAGTCAGATTTATATATGACGACGTCTGGAGCAAGACAGCCACGCCGCAGGCAAGTTGGCAGCGCAAACAGCGCCACGACACGCCTTCCCGCTTGCAGGCGCAATGGATTGAAAGGGCATTCGTCGTTCCCGCTCAGCAAGACAAACGAAGCCGTTCGATGCTCTACTGCGTTCGACACTCTATACTGCGAGTACGCTGAGCTCACAGCGTCGCCAAACGAAGCATGATCTGCGCGCACGAAACAGATTGCACACATGCGAGAGCACTCGTATACACATGAGAGCGTTCGTATACAAACGACAACTTCACGAGGACATTGCTCTCGTTTGTTGCGCAGTTGTCCTTTGCGCAACTTTGGATTCTCTCGGTGGGCTTTACTTGAACGCACCCTGGTGTCGTGGCCTCTTTTGTTGAGTCAGGCGCTGGCCATGATTTGCTTCACCAAGGTGATTCCTTGACGAAGGCCCTGGAAAAGCGCGTGCGCAAAGAGCGGAAGCAGGCGTGGGGTTTGGGCGGGTGGAGCAAGAGCCAGCGCTTGCGTCGAGGCCATCGCGGTCGCGCTGCTTTGCGTGCAGCAAGCGCGCAAGGAAAGCGCCCCTCAGCGAGATGGCCGAATGTCTGCCGCACAGGCTGTTTGTCTTGTGTGTTGCGTGTCGTGTGTTTGTTGCGTGTCGTGTGTTGCGGACTCTGCAGGAGCGACTGGTGGCTTTCAACCAAGAGGCGAGCGGCGCGCGTTGCGGTCTGATCCCCGACTGTGTCTAGCGTCAGGCTGCCGAGAACACAGCGGAAAGCTTGGCGTACGTGGTCGGCCGGGAGCGGCTGTGGTGCTTGAGGAACAAGCTGTCGTGTGCTTGCCCAGGTTCGCAGTGGCACAAAGACCGCAAAGTTCGGAACCGGGAGGTGTGCGTGTTTGCAGTGTTGGTGGAGCTTGGATTGCGGGCGCTTCTGAGGCGCACGCGGTGTACGGAAACACGGCGCCGTCCCAAGGTAACGCGAGTGAGACGCGGGCAGTGCGAGAAACTCGCCAAGCACGAGCTGGATTTGCAAACCCAAGTGGCACGACGTGTTGGGTGGCAGCAACTTTGCAAAGCCTGTTTGCAGTGCGCTCCACTGCAGGCAGTATCCGGCAGCACGTAAAATGTGCAGCCTGCGCTGGTTTGTGTGTGCTCTGCAGGCTGAAGCAGACCCAGCCCTGAGCAACGCCCGAACCTGCAGGAGTTGTGGGGTTCGTGGCTGGCAGGCGCTGGGCGCAACATCTTGGCGCAGGACGACGCAGGTGAGTTCTTGCAATTGGTGTTAGAGCACAGCCCAGAGCTACGGGCAGCGTTTGCGCAGGAAACGTGTCACCATGACACGTATACTCCTCAGTGCGGGACGCGTGACTGCCTCGCAAGAGAAGTGGACACTAGCGAGGTTGAGTTGCTCACGGATATTCATTTTCCGGAAGAGCAGCCGTGGGAGGCAGATTTGCAGGTTGCTTTAGGAGAAGACGTGACAGAGGCAGAGTTTGACACAAGGCGCACGTGCGCGTGCGAGGAGGTCTATGTAGCCGTGCGCCGCACCATGCGCACGCTTGGGCCCGGCAGTGTGCTAGCCGTGCGAATTATGCGCTGCAAGGATAGAAGAGAGGTGTTGAAGGCCCCGGAAGCAATGCAGGTGAAAGGTCGGTGGTATCGATTGCGAGCAAGCGTGTGTCACATTGGGGACTCGTTCAACGCTGGCCATTACGTATGTCATGTGCCTTTGGAAGCAAGTGAGAAGTGGGTGTCCTACAATGACGGTGTTGTTCGTGCGCGTGACAGGCCTGAGTCCATCGCAAGCCAGTGCCGCCTGCTGTTTTATGAGGTCTTAAACGCAGGCCCACCTGCAGGGCTGCAGGTTAAGAAGGAAACCCCCGCGGGGCAGTTGCGAGTCAAGCTTGAGCCCAAGAAGGAAGAAGCTGCAAGCGCAAGTCACCAGCCAGCAAAGGAAGAGGCGCAGAGTTGTGTGCCACGCCTGCAAGCGTGTGAAAAATTCGTAGATTTAGATGCTGTGGGAGACGTTGCGCCAGGCTCCTGCGCACAACCGCTTAAGACAAAAGTACTTGAAGCAAGTGTCGGAGATGTGGTGGCTGACATAGAGGGAACCTTGCGGGCGCAGGTGGCTCACACAAAACAAATTGGACTAGCGCAACGGTTCTTGTTGTCGTTTGGAGTTCGCCAGTGCACAGCCAAGAGGCAATGGAATAGCTTTTTCACAGATGTAGCCATTCCTCTTCTAGAGCACCTCTTCACAATCGTCTTGTTGCGTTTGGGGCCGCGCGCTCCGTTGCCTCCAGAGAACTTTCGGCTGACGGAGTCGCAAGAAGCGGCCGTTGACAACTTGGCAGACATTCGGTCACTGTTTGAAGCACGCGAGTCAGCCAGACTTGGGTTTCGCCAAAACAATGTATTGGTTCGGCACTAGCGTCATGCTGAACCATATAATGCAGCATTGTTGGCCGCACGTGCTGTCGAGCACAATGCCAGAGAGTTTGCCTACTTGTGTGTCTGATGAAGCTTTCTGCAGTGCGGTGGCTTTCGTGCACCGGCGCTTCGCTTATGGTCATGCCGTGCTGAGTGTGTCAGCGCAAGAGGCGGCTTGGCTTGCCCCCGAAGCCGCTGCGCGAAAGGAGCGAAGCGACCTCACGCCCACAGTGCTAAGACTTTTGCGGAGCAACCCGGGCAGCTGTGTTAGGTTCCATCACGTGTTGCAGGCGGAGCTGGGTTTGAAACGCATGAGGGAGCGGGGTGGTCCAGCTGAGAGGCAGCTGGTGCAGCAGCATGCGAATCTGGCTTGCCTTGAAAGACCTAGGTGTTGGAACGCTGCGCGGGGAGGGAAGCGAAATGCATTTGCACAAGCTGTCGCGGGCAGCTTTGCCTGCGCCGACAGTGGCATGGCTGCGCCGGGTAAGAGTGCCCTTACTCCTATTCGGACCTTGCGAACAGGGGCGCGAGATGGACTTGCTGGCCTTGCACGTGCCGGGTTTGTTTCCGGAGGAGCGGACGACGCCGCTGCCAAGCACAGAAAACAAGGAGTCAAGTTCAAGCGCTGCCGCAGCGGCGTCCGATGATGTAAAAGTGGAATTGACTCGCGGGCAAAGAGGGGCGCAGACACGCGCTTGTCGCAACGCCGAGCGGCCCGAGTTCGTGTCTTGCAGTGACCTTGGAGCTGGCATTCTGCCCCAAAGCAGCCTAGTGAGTGTGTTGCACAAGCGTCCGGAGTGGCAGGATTACAAGCATAAGATCCGCGTGGTGTGGAAAAACGATACCCGCGTGGCGGTAAATGTGACTTGTGCGGAGGCAGCTGGTTGTTCTTTCCTGTGGCACTGCACATACTTCTTGCAAACTGTAGGTCACCCAGCCGGCACGTTGCTGATTACTAGCACAGGTGAGCATTCGCATGCTGTGAAGGATGGCTCTGCCTTGCTCCAACGACCTGCCAAGCTATGGACGCCAAGGCAAGAGGCGGAGGCGTGTCGGTACATGGACAGCTCGGAGAAGGGAAAGCGCAGCGCAAAGCAGCTACAGGCGCACATGCTGTCGCCAATGGTGATGATAACTATCATCGTGGCAACGCATCCGCAGCACCCTTCCCGTGCGCCTCCCCCTTTCAGGAGCAGGGGTCGGCGGATATATATATATATATATATATGCATGCACACCTGCGTTTGTTTGTGTAGTCACATATGATTCTCGAAATGCATGAACACGGATCTTCAAACCTTTGGAAGATAAGGTTGCTGAACGCTGCCTGCAAATCCGAAATCGCTGCTTGCGATTCTCTTGTTTTCACCATGCCTCTTCTAGCCTGCTTGCGTCCCCAGCCACAGCCACCATCTACATCACAGCAGGGGTAGCCGCCACTTTTGGGTTGGAGCGGTTTTGGGGTCCGAGGACATGTCGCTGACCTGGTGGCAGCTGCGTTTGATGCAGTTGCGACGTGGCGGAAAAGACCTGGCAACGTTTGTTGTCCAGGGGAAACCTTTAAGTGGGAGCTTCCGTAAAACCCACGATTGATGCAGCCGGAGTTATGCTTGGTTCCCCAACATGTGTTTTACCATCCTCAAAAAAAACCATGTTGTCGTGCACAGAGGGTGCACACTGTGCTTCTGTTGTGTGTCTTGGGTCCTTCTTTGTGTGTGTTTCGGCGGTTTTCTCGCTTGCGTCTGAGGTTCTTGTACCTGGGCCCGGCCACCGCCACCATCGCGGGCTGGGCTTGGCTGGAGGACGGCTGGCTGCGTGCCGCAGAGGCGCTGGTGGTCTTGGCCTACCTCCTGCATGCCATGCGCCCACGCCTGAAAAGGGGTCGAGTCGAGCCGTCTTTTTTTGTTGAGGCGAAGGGGGGGGGGAGGGGGCTCCCACCAATTAAGTTAGCATGGAACCTGTCGTTTGGGGGTCCCTTTAAAGGGACAATTGTCCAGGACCCCCATGTCAGTTTCCATGCGAATTGGTGGGAGGGTACCCTTGTTGGGCTGGGTTTAAAGGGAAACCAACGCGCAAACCGAAGCCAAGCCCAAAGGATGCCCGGAACAAAAGGCATGTCGGCTTCGAGCGTTTTTCAAGGTCGCCAATGGGGTTGTCAAAAACGGATGTTCGAAAGGTGGCTTGGGAGGCATCAGGGAGGGGGGGGGGCAGATTTTGACCCACAATGGAAGTGGACAACGGTAAGGTAGTCTTCCAACACCCTCCAGCACTTGCTGGGGGATCTATAGCAAGGAAAAAGGATAGCGGCTACATCTGTTGTCAACAGTAGAAAATCCAAGAAACACAGACCCTTTGGAGAATTCCCGTTGGAGGATTCGAACCTATGTGTTGTTCCTCGTGAACATCCTCACAAAATGGGGCAGCACAGGGAAGCTGGGTGTGGCTCAAAATTAAAGAGCTAGGGTTGCCCTGGTTCTAGTCTTGGGTTCCGTTTATCAAGCTGTCATTTGGAAATCATTTTTTTCGAGCCACAGCCAGTTCTTCAGCTGCTGAGCTGAGCTGCGCACTTGTTTCGAATGCAAGTATTCGCTTTGGAGACGAACCATGTGTTGTTCCTCGTGAACATCCTCTCAAAATGGGGAAAGCACATGGAACATCGCCCTTCCAGAGCTGCGCGTTTCAGCGTTTCAGCGTTTCGAAAGGTACCTCCTCACAGTGAACACCTTGTGCCGCATGCACTTGGAGCACAATGGCGCCCACCTGCCCATAGCTTTCCGCTCGGTCTTGTACCTGGATGTTTTCGGCTGGACACGGACGCAGGCGAGGAAGAGAGGAAGAGGGCTAGTGGGCAAACAGGGTTCAAGCAAGAGAAACCTCCAAGAGAAAGCTTCAAATGCTTTCTCGAACTTTGAGATGTTTTGACTGTTGTGCTCCCATGGTCTTGGAGGGCCTTCAGGTTTCCTTGGTTTGCGTGTCTATCAAATGCAGCAAAGGCCCGGCATGTGGATTTGCTTGGTGCCCTAAGAAGCTTGGCACCTCACATAGCCTTGAGGTCCGGACTCCTTAAAACCTAAGTGACGTTTACCAAAAGGGTCGGGACCTCTGAAGACTCATAGCCCCCTGCGCGGCTCGAGGGCCCTGCCTCTTTGGCCAGGCGGGACGCGAGGTGGGCACCCCTTCCTCCCGCGCCTCGGAGGCGGGGGCCCCGTTTGGCTGGCTCCAGCTGCGTCCAGAGGAAACTCCTTTTGGGGGAATCCCAGGTGTTTCACAGGGATTTTCGGAAATTCACCTTTTGGGTGCTCCATGTGAATTTGCAGAGTAATGTTTGGTACTCGCATCCTGGTAGTTTCGGCCATTCTGGAGCGGTGGTCTGAAAATCCTGACATGGTCTTCTTAGGGAAAGAAACCCCGTGTCGAGCATGGGACATTCCAAGAATGAGGCATCGGCACGTCGAGTTATTTCCGGGATGCAAGCACATGATTTAGATGGCAGCTGGTCATGTGATTTGAGGGAATAATGATGTCACTCCATGCAAGAGTAGTCCAGGCTAGCCCGGGCTCGCGAGGATGTTTATTCATTTGTGTTTGCCCTACTTGAAACCAACGTATGTTTCGATCGTCTTGCATGTCCGTCTTTTTGTCCTCACTCCCTTAGTTCCCGAACTTTAAGCTTTCTGGGAAGACCATTGTAGTAGCAAACAGAAAGTTTAGACTTGTCTTGGCCAGTCCACTCAGGAAGTGAGTGTCTAATTGCTGCAAACTGAAGGCCACCGCGACAAAGAGTGTGGATCCGACAGAAGGCCTTGCGCAAGCAAATCCTCATGCCATGCGAATCGCAGGCGCCCCGGGTTCGGGTGAAACGCATATCGAAAGCCACAAATCTTTGGTGAAGCCCGGAGTTTGCCTATTCTAGCGGTTCCTATGTTCCATGTTGTTCGCAGCTGTTGGGCAGGCAGTTTCTTAGCACCAAGATTTGCAAGTTGCCGAACGCACCTCGAGTGTCAGATTGACAGCTCGTTGCAACGTCGCAAACTCAGTTTGGTCATTATTTTCTACATGGTGTTTGCGATTGTCTTTTAAGAGGCTGTTGCAACATACACCCCATATATGTGGCCATGGGTCAAAAGCCCGTACCGCCAGTGAACATCCCAATCCAACCACTAAAATAGACTAAAATGGGTGGTGCACCTACCCCAAAATGGTACCATTGGTTTTGACCCACAGTCATCTATGTATACATGTACATCGGGCAGCCTCTATGTGGAGCAGGCTGAACCGGTCAATCTCCTGTGATCGCAGGCCTTCAGCGTGCATTCGGACCTGCCCGTTGACCCGGCCAAGCCGGCCACGGCTGCTCGGAGCGATTGGGCGATTGTAGCTGCGAAGAGGACTTGGTACGGCGCAGTCGGCGCAGTTCAGCAAACCCTTTGCAAGGGCTGCCACTTTCCTGAGTCACAGGAACGGGGTTTCAGACTGGCATACAGGGTTGGAAACATGAGCTCGCTTGGCAGTACAAAGGCCTGTCGCAGGCGGAATGCAACTTTGAGTTTCTTGTACCGTGTGTGTGGCCAGAATTGAGTATGCAGCAGGAATATTGATGAACATGTTTTGGACCCCAAACCAACGCAACAGCTACCAAATGATCAAGCCCTGGCGAACAAGCACAGTTACATCCCAGGCAGAAGGAAGCTTACTGAAAAAAAGACCGATTGAACATGATGGGACATCAGCCATTGTCACGGTTCCTAACTTGGCGGCTCCGCGCCATCCTGCTCCTTGGCTTTTTAGCTTTTTTGTTGGTTCAGTGGTTGGATTTCCATTTAACCCACAAAGAGTTAAACTTTTAGCGAGGCATCTGAGGACAGCCCAGCTAAGGGGCCCATGATGCACACTTTCGGTGTTTTGACCATAGCACACGTGGAAGCACAAGACCACCCAAACGGAAACAGCTTGAACAGAACGCCGGTTCAAGATAGGACATGCCCAGATAGTGCTCCCCCCCCCCCCCGCCCCCGGCACAAAAACAAGAATGGTTCCGCTTTTTCTGTTGAGTTTCCCTGAAATCGCCCAACAAATGGGAGCTCCCCTCTCCTGCCAGATCTTGCAATCCCAAAACAAGGTACACATGTCTAGGTGCCCTCAAAAGATATGGTACACCTAAATGCCAAAATGGGCTTCTATGTTTCTTTGGAGTCTCCCTGTCCGCCCAAACATGGAACACCCTCT